AATTCTTCACCGTTGACGGTGGTGATTACGATGATTAAAAACGTATATCCTTCAACTGCATGATGGATGTGATAACATGGACTTAGAACTAATCTAGGCCAGACCTGCATCCTTTTGACTGATTCCATATGTGTTTGATGTCACTCACCTTCGAGTAAAATAAAGGGACCACAAGCAACCAAATAATCGTAAAGGTCTAGTAAAATTGCCTGGATATTGACCAAGACAAGAGTAGCGACAAATAACGTTCGCTTACCGCATTAACAGTTTCATTCACATCGTGTTCATCAGTTTTGTCTGAACAGCAGATAGGCAAAATCAATATAGAACCTTCCATAGAAGTGCATCGGTTCGAATTGCTACACCACCACAACAGGCAAAGAACGAGTACCTAGAGAAAGTGATATTAAAGTAAACAGAAGTGTATGAGAGGATAAAGAATTTGAAAATCGGTGTTATTGAAAATGTCCAAGCTTTAGAAGGTGCCAAAGAGTGAACATATTTGTAACCGATTTTCGGCCAATTCACTGAGACTTTTCAACCACTGATTCCTAGCGTGCCACGGATCCTGATCAGATGGTCTACATATCCGCATACTCGGCTCAGATGCTTCATGTTTTGGGACCACGCCTTAGTCTTGCATTCATCTAACCTAATCTAACTGTATATGATGTTGCTGGTATTATCCCGTCGTTGATTAGACCGAATTGATCGGTTTCTTTCGGCATATGGGCTCCTGCGCAGAAGCTTCGATATTGCTTTCGTCACCCATCACTGATCGCAATCATTACGTAAACTCTTAGGCCATTTACTTTTTAGCCACTTTCGCTCTTCTCTGTGACCAGAGTCAACTGGAACGAGTGTTCTCACATGTACTAGTTGGGTTAAGACTTCTGAAGTCCACTGGATCTCGCTAATCTTTGTGTTATGTGTGGAGTTGTGACTCAATCGAATTCCAACTTGTAGGACACTGGTTGTACCCACTGAGATCTGAGCAGTCAAGTAGTGTCACAAGCCCTTGTACAATTGGTGTGCGTTCCTTAATTGGATGCCAGCCAACAGCCGTCTATGTGCTGTTAAAGTGAATAGATCTGTAAGGATTAGGAAGGATCGTGAGACTAGGCGATGCCTATTCGTAATCACCGCCTGCGCAGACACTGGCTGCAGTTCTGATGATGCAAAGGATGGATTCTTTGAAAAACTGTCAACCTTGCTACGAAAAGCAAAACGTTCAGATGTTATGATGACAGGTGATTTTAGTGCTCAAATATAGAAACCGAGCGGGTTGGAAATCTATCTTTTTGATATTTACGGAATCCCATGTCAACGAAATGACAGCTGTGATCGTCTGTTACACTTTTCTTGTGACAATCACTTGTTTTTGGTCAGCACTGACTTAAGTTATAATGAGAGATACTGTCGCATACGGCGTCCGCCGACATGTAACGAATGATGGACATAGGTAAGTTGTTGGTGGAGGGTTGCTACTCTTTTTGGAGTGCCAGTGTGAGCTCCGATCACGTGATGTAACGTGCTGGTGTATGTACTAATATTAGTCATATATGAAGAAAGACATCTATATATAGGGGCATGGTCTCATCATTTCTCAGTGCAGAAACCAATTTAGGATGAGTATTTAGTCTACTACTGGATACAGTAGTACCATCAGTCTATGCAACTTAACTTGCAGTCAACCGATTGATAAGTGGAGATTGATGTTACTGAATAAAGGTAAAAAAGTAAGAGGTGGTGATCATTTTCTTAAGTATTACTATATATGAAATGATGTAAATGCATTGTTACAAAGTAATAGTTGATCACTAACAGTCAAACGACTCTCAGGAGTGAGTTCCCATGCCTCGGAAGAAATAAGGTTATTTTAAGTGAACTGTTATGATGGGATGGATTGAATTATTTAAGGTACCTCTTTTCTCTCCAAGATTGAAACCTACTTACTTGCTTCGTAATAAGATGCGCTACCGAAAAGACCAGTCAAGGACATTGAAGACAGTGGATATATATTTAATCTAAGAGGACGATTAGTGCATATTCTTTCATCAACCACTACAGTTTCCTCTCAGTGTTTGATGCGGTTTTAGTGTTAAGAGTCTTGAATGGGTGAGACGGTCCTATAAGTTGGAATAAAGGAAAGCGGTTGTCCACCAAACATGCTACTTTATTTCTACCCTTCGCTCTCGTAAGGGTACTCATCGACTGTCGCACTAATAACATTGGTTTATGATTTACTCATATACTACTTCAACCGAATTGGCTGTTTTCATGTATTATGCGTGCTGAATTACTTTATATTTCAAGGCGCTATTGTTTGAAGTAGTTTTTTAAAAAGCCCATAATTACCAGATCGAAACAACATAGGTTCATAAAATATCTGACTCTTCAGCTGAATTGTCTTAGAAAATGTATTTTTCTTGGTTGAGATCAATTAGATTGTAGAAAAGGGTGGCTGGAAATTTGGTGATTCATTGCGTGTTATCATCCTAAACGCATACTGGGCACCAAGAAATACTCAAATACAAAATAAAAAACATGAAGTGATAGAGAGAAGAGAACAATCGCAAAATTCGAACGAGGCTACTAGAGAAGCAGTATCTGGCAAAGATTCACGATAGCGTTCACTGCCTTTTCTAGCCTTAAATAACAGAAAACAATAAAGCTGGAGTATTTACTGGTTTCAGCTTGATAATATGTATTCTATCGTCTTGAACTTCTAACAATGAGTCTCTTGGCTGTAGATATCCTTCATACGATGGCACTACGTCCCATGTTGACTGCCTCTCTTCTTGCAATCAGTCCGAGGGCAAACAAACAATGAACAATATGGAAGCCACTAAGACGACATTCGAAATACACGTTCAATCCATGGAAGCTGTTGTTTCAAGATTACTTAACTCAGTAAATGATGGTCACCGTCAGGCTTAAAAATCTGCCACCTCACATTACTTATAGTGTTTCCGCAGGATGCTAACAATCCTACGGAGACTTGCTGATTTCGCTCCGAATGGGTTTCAGTTGTGGAAATCCATTCATACGATTATCTGAATTAAATTCCGCTCTACTGACTTCCACACAGATATGCTGCCATGAATTACGGTAACTTTGATTACTATGCATTAATGTCGTATCCCATGCTGATAATGTATCAGTCTATCTATAATACCTTCAATAGTCATTCACCTTTTAGTGACTTCATGCATCAACCTTCTACGATGTGGTTGACCGAGTTCCCATCTACGCTTACCTTGGCAGCGTTTGAGTCTACTCAGGTTACAAATTCTCGTCCTCGTTATCTCCTGGATTTTCTTCATCTTTTTTGTTACTAACTGCAGTGTAGGTAGCTGAAACCCGAACTGAAGATCCAAGTTCGTTAAATAACATCTCTGATCTTAAACTGTAGTCCAAGCACTTGGTAACCTATCTCTGTATAAAAGGAAACTGAAAGTTCCGCTAACTGAAACCTAAGGATTCTGTGTAATAAAAGTATTTTGTGTTTCCAGGACACATATACAGCATGCATATGTTGTAGTAGATCACTAACGATATAGCCAACAAGGGTAGTCTGTGATTCACCTGTTGTGTACTTGGGGTCCCAGCCACCAGTTAGTGTGATCTTGTAAGCGTAGCTAATGTATTTACTCTTAGGAAAGAAAGCATACTTTTCGATTGGTCCCTAGGCGAGACTAACGTGAACTATTTGATTAAATGGAACTAAGAAAGATCGCAGCCCTTTTGGATATTCTTTTGTAGTCTTTATATACACCCAATAACTGCCGCTTAGTATAAACGAAGTAAATGTTTTCGTTAAACGGTCTACACTTCAACAAACATACAGAACTAGTCATCATGGACAATTGTAGGGCATTTGTAGATGAGATCTAAGCTCGATAGAAAGGTATTTGTACCGTGCGTTCAGAACCTCAGCAAAGTTCTAGCGAGTGGTCGCCATTATAGACCATCATGTTTGTAGAATAATTAACTTTTTAGTCTTGCTGTGTAAAGATGTTGACAACAGGCTGTACCATGAACACTGACAATTTGAAAGTGTCTAAGGTTCTTCTTATCTTTCACGAACAAAGTATTACTCGAGGACTGATCTGCTTCAGATAGACAAAATCAACGTGTAGAACCTCGCATACAAGTGAGATGAAATGGATCAGTTAACTTTGCTAATTTACGTCACTTGCGGTAACAGCATGATTTCTAAGTTTTAAAAAAAATTCATACTGCATGTGAAACACGTACATGGAAAGTAGAGCATTCACTTAAACTACTAGTGCTCGAACGTGGTTATTTTCTTATCGTCACTCATTTGGTGGCCATGTAAGGGAGGCAAGCCAGTTCAATAAATTGTAAACTCTCATAGAATGAGGCCTACCGTATCATCTGATGTTCTCTATCTCGATGCACCTAAAGCGTATCCACTGCTGCTGCGCGGACGCTTCGACACTATTTGTTTCAATCACATGTTAATTATGGATAGTGGCTGACAGGGAAACTCACGACCCACGTTTCGTCCCACTTGGGACTCGTCAGCTGGATGCACCTAGGACTGATCGCTTCAAACACCAGGGCGTTATCCACTGGACTATGAAGTCACGATAGCCACTTCTATTGGATAGTACCCGTCGCACAAGAAGTGGCTATCGTGGTCTGATGGATAGGGCTCTGGGGTTTAGAGCGATCGTTCCTGGCTTCGAGTCTGAGTGGGAACAACATCGCTCACTGGGAAACGGGCACGACCATCTGACAAGTCCCAAATGGGATGAAACGCGCGTCCTAGATCCCAATCCTATCCATTATCCATAATTGGTATATTTCATTGCTCGAAATTTCCATTACCATCGTGTTTCCTTACGTTTGTTGCTGTTGGTACTTTGTATTGATTTTTCACTTTAGAAATTCATTTCTGTTTGAATTCTACGTAGTGTGTTTGTTTTCCCATTTGATAGGCTACATCTTATGAATTTTTTCATTTTGTGCAGCATTGGCGGAATACCGTCATGAAAACTCGGAAGTTGTACGCGCCCGATTTTTCTTCCGCGATGAATTCCTTGTAAGTTTTAGAGAGTCTACAATTAGCCAACATAATTTGCAATTTTTCAACAATTTAAATGTTGCTAGTGTTTTGAAATTCTACATAGAGTAATGTTTCTAATCTCCATGTTTAGTTAATTTTACGTCTTCACACTTTTAGAAAGTAACATCAAATAATAATGGTGGACGTCATTATTGTTATCCTCATTTGACATGTGCGGTTGATACAGAAAATATTCGACGCGTATTCAATGATTGTCGCGACATCATCCAGCGAATGCATCTACGACAGTACGAATTACTCTAGGAAAATTTTTTTATAGATCCTGTCTCTGATTTCCGTTCTTCCATCATACATCGGGGTATATGGTTTGAAACCCCATTGCTTGTGAATACCATCTCATAATTAGTTGATTATGATTTTGGTCATCCAGTGCATCGAATCTAGTTGAATATTTTATTCTCTTAATAAATCAACCAATCTCTGTTAACCTGCATTTGAAGACTAGACATTGCACATCAGCTCACATTTAGAATTTCTACACAATCATAAACACCATTATGATACGGAAATCATAATTGTAATAGAACATCTCAGTAATTCGTATATTCATGAGTCTCCTTCACTGAATGATAGATTCTTAATATTCGGATCTCTTTATTTTAACGTTGTTACTATCGCTGCTTTTTTCTTCTCAATATTTCGATATCTTGAATATTTCAAATTTTGTTGTTAGTGTAAATCTTCCCTGGTCATATGTATCCGGCAATCCACACGCGTTTTCTTCCTAACGTTGTGTCATTCTAATTTTTAACGCCTAGATATGTGAGTTTGGTTTCATCTTTAATTCATATTTGAGACTGATTACTGAGGTGATCTACAGAAACTACTTACAGAAGTGTGTGAAAATTAATAGACTTATTTGAGGAGTGTGTGACACTACGTACGTCTATAAATTAGATGTCTAAGAGTATGAAACGATAGGATACTAAGTGATATAACTCCGTGAACATGTACTCCGTAATATTCTTTGCAGGCAAGCATGGTTTGTTTGCAATTGGTTATTTCTTGTCTTTCCTTCTATATTCAACTTTGAAATACAGCAAACAAGTCATTTTCCGTTTTGTTGTCGGGACTATGTTTTCTTCCCTTGTTTGTCGTCTTGTTCTTTTCATGAGGTTGTATTTCTTGCTTTCTGATTGATTAGTCTTCAGGAAATGAATGCCTCATGATTCCGGTTTTAATAATCTTAGCTGTAGAACGCGCAATACTGTTTAGTTCAATTTCCTGTTTCACTAATGAAACTATGCTCATTTTGTGATAGCTTTGCCAAGTGCAAATGTGATGAAGACTGCTTTTCATTTCACTCAAGACAATTGGTCAGTTACTTCCCTTTCGCTCCTGTTCTTTGTACAGCCACAATTTCTTGTTACTGGCTATGTTTACTCACAATAAGTTCATTTTGAGCTTGTGCTTAGATTTTTTGACTTGTTACAAAAATATAATTCCATCCCTTGTAAGAATTTGTAATTTCCTTTTCTACAGCTGAACGTTTTCATAGTTAAGGGCGAATAATATTGAAAGAAGTTCAAAATAATTCTGGGAGTGCCGCTACTATCTGTTTCTTTCTTGATTTTATGATCAAATTTGGTTCTATGTCGTCTCTTAGTATCCCATCCATTTGTTTGCAAACGCTCCAACCAAAAACTCTTTTACGACCTAGTCTTTATCCGCACAGCCATAACTATGTAACTTGACTCGCTTTGCTGTTCTTTTAACCTTTGCCTGTTCGCACAGTTTGTGGTGATCAAGTCTGATATTTGGGTACTAATGAATTATGGGTACACAATTTCAGCCTTGCTTTTTTAATTGACAGTTTAACCGCCAATAATTGTCGTTACGTTAGTTTACTTCGTGGTGCAATGTACACATCATCAATTGCTCGAGCTATTCAGTGGTAATTGTTTAGGTCTTTAAGAGTAAGAACTTGGGAACAGGAACAGATTTACCCAGATGAAATAATCTGGGTAAATCTAGTATGGCTTCTGTATGTGAAATTCAAACATTTGATTTTCACGGTTATTTAACATGGATCACCTTTCTTAAGTAGAGGACAATCTGAGAGGGTTATGAATTAGAGGTCACACAGCAACTACATATAGCTCTATTTTAAGAAGAAAAGTTAGAGCATCAAAATTGAAGGGGAATTGTAGCCTTATTCATTCTTTTTATGTATTAGAGATCCATTCCCAAACTCGCTTTTTCCTCTCATAACTTACCTGTGATACTTAACCTACATGGTCATAACTCGTAAGACCTGAGGTGATTCTGCAAGGGTTTTAGTCCCAAAAATGTATTCAAAACGTCTTGTGTTTTTAGTCACCATGTATTTGTAATGCGTCCTATATTCCTGGAGGAGTTAATCACAACCAGTCGATTGTAAGTGCTTTACTAGCGAGAACAAAATCTGAAATGGCTAGCATTACTGCCTAGAAAATGTACGTTAATATATTTCACGCAGTGTATGTTTTAACGGCTGCGTCAACTAAGTAAACTTCGCATAGCCTGTCAGCTCTTTAAATAGATCGCACACTGTACTGTTAGATTTCTCATGCTTTCGAATCTGCGCTTAAGCTTTGTGGAATATTGAATAAAGTGTTCGTTTGTCAGCAGCATCTACTTCATGTAAGGTCTCAGGACTGACCACGATACATGTCTACGTCTCTAGAGTTTGCTACAGGGATTCTTTCTTTCAACACATTTTATGGCAACTAATAAACAGTCCAACTCGGCAGCCATCTAGATGCTCTGATTTAGGAGTCGCGCAAAGGGTCTACGCTAACGTTGTTACTTTGATAGATAAACTTGAATAGGCGGCATAAGTTTCGAACTCGCTAGGTAGATTACTGAGTGATTAATCGTACGATCCACAACTGCACAATAATAATTGTACTTGTGTCAATACACGCGAGATCTGAAGATTTTGAGCTCAACTGCGCATAGTATACTCTCTCGCTCAGACTTCCGTACGCTATGAGCGTGTAGAGGAACTCGCTATTTTGATTAGTTTTCTTGCTTATGATGCAAACTACAGTCGAAAAATGATATTAAGCAGATGGAGATAATCTACATTATGGATTATCCGTTTTAAATTCGGTCCGCATAATTTTCTTGGATTCTGCGCAAGCGTGCCATATATCTTGTGAATATGATAATTATCGCAAAAACTCCTTAAACTACTTCCTTACAGATTTTCCTTGTTGGTTACACTTAGAGATCCTAGTCTTAGTCTGACTTCAGACATCATCGGACTATTGGGTCTAGGAGGATATTCGCAACATTCTCCATCATAAATGTTACGATTTCGAGTGAATGGTACCCGACTTACCAAACAGAAGTATTGCTTTGGAGATGAGACATAGTGATCTTGTGAGCAGTTATTATGTACGTCTTAGTAAGATTTTCTGGACAACAATTGAGATTAGTCCTTATGATCCACCACTGTATGACGCAATCTGTCCACTTTCTTCGTATGTACCTTCACAAACTCAGTCATCCGCAGTTTCAAGCATTAGTGACAATCGTAGTATATTACAGCCTCGCAAACTGTATAAGACTAACAAACATATTCGGTCTTTTGAGTAATATTTAATCCAACTTGATGTTTGGGAATACGGTTAACCGATAGGTGTATGATCACTCTGGGCTGGGTGCCTCTAGGAAGTTGGTTTTGAAGTTGAAATCGCAAAAACAAATGCACGTTTGATCAGGAAAACGGTAACAAAATATATACAAAAATATACACCGTTTAGACAATAATAGTTTGGTAGGAAGTTTACCACAACTACAAAACGCGGAAATACTTGTAACTTATTACTCTTTTGGGTTATTGTGGACAAAAATTTTTAAATGTGTACAAAAAGAAGAAAAAATGTTCCTAGTCATTACTCCCCAGAGCTTGTCCACGTCCTGGAAATCTCCCCCTGTAGCAGCAGCTGGCTGTCTTGCACGAGGTGCTTCTCCAAAGCCAGTTACAACACCTCTTTGATTCGGAAACAGCCTGTATCTGAAATAAGATGGAATTATCGTATAAGTCGTTCAGGGCTGCTAAGTTAGTGCAGGGATGATTTATGATGACAAAATGTGCAACTCAGTGTATGTATGAGTTTCTTTAGTTCTCATCACATCGAACTTGTTATCATCTTAAGTGGTGATCAGGCTTGAAGCATTAGCGTAACGAGCTGTTAGCTGCAAAGATTGTACTTCAAGACATTACAATTCAACATCCTATGGACTTCGGTCTATGATTTCTTAAGGGTCACATACACACTTGAGAATTTTTTTTTGAGATAAAGCGGTGAAAAAAACACGTTAGGAGGCATTGACACCTTTGAAAAGTGAGAAGAGGGCAAAGCTGAAAACACTGACTCCATACACACACACCGGTCCGTAATGTGACTAAGACCCTCAAGGACCAAGGGTGGATTGCCGCTCTTTCTGGAGTACTGGTTTGGACTCCATTCACACGCTGGTACGGGCTCGTGTGTGTCTGCACTCAACTGGTCGCAGGAAAAATGGAATAGTAAACCCTGTCTATGGTCGATTGGAAGGTGAGGAAGTCAAGTGTGCATTTGGGGAGGAGTTAGGCATTTACGTGAACGCGATAGTAACGCTCATCCTGAGGAAACCTAGCATGATGTTATGTTTGCTGTAGAAAAAACGGAAGAGAGTTGGTAACTTACACATGAAGGTTAGCAAACGTCATCGGGACTGGTTGACGGGAGAAGACAGTGAAGAGTGAAAACAACCTTAATGTTAGTTGGCTAGGGGTCTTCGCATCTACCGCAAGCTGTGGTCGGTGATGGAAGCGAGAGAGATGGATATGGCATCAGCGTTGGGTAACATTTGGTAACTATTTAGGCTTATTAAGGATGGTTAGTAAAACCGTCACCGGAAAGGATGGGACGCTGATAACCTCTAAGGACAGGCGGCTAGATCATTGGGAGGAACGCTTTGAAGCACAGTTTAACTTACCCTCAGCAACGTTTCAGTTGCACAACATCCAATGTGAGTGACATGTGGGTGTCGCTGTATCGAACCTGAAACGATGCAAAGCAACAAACCTGACAGTATGTGGCCCGACGTTTTCAAGGGTGGAGGTAGGAAATCGCTTACTAAAGTGACTGGGGTACTAGGTAGTGTAGGGAGTCAGTCTGGTCTACTTCATTGAACATTTCAGTTTATAAGGGAGATAGAGAAGGCCTGCTTGGGATTTTCCAGCTTGTTTCATATATGGTACCGACTGGAAAAATAGCCGACTATGCATCTAGCGAAAGACGAGTAGACTGCTGCATTCCGTTCTGTCCTGTTATACGGCTGTGAGTCATGGCTGCTGAAAGTAGAAGACATGAAGCGGTTACAAGGCTTTGATCATAGATGCCTCTGTAGGACTGCTGGCATTTGATGAAACCACTTTGTGAGCAATGTCAGTGAAGACGAAGGGTACTGGGAAAGACAGGCAAGTCGATTTATGAGATTGTGAACCTTCATCGGCTGAGATGGCTTGGACATGTGTTGCGCATGCCGACCTACCCCTTACCTCGAGGTGCCAAGCTAGAGGAAGCTGGACTAAAACTTGTGCACTGCGCTTAAATGCAACTCCACTTTATCAGTTGATTTGTTAGATGTATTAAACATTGGAACTACGCTTTGAAATGACGCGATTTAGCAATTGCTTAACAAGTCCTACATATTTGAGCTGAGTTCCCATCATCTCGTTTAGGCAGTTCCAACACCCCAAGGAACTGCAATGCTCAACACATTTGGTGTCTCACTCCCTATCCTTAAACTAATTACCCGAAAACCAGTCCTGAAGCGAAACGCATGCCGAACACGCGCAGGTTTCTGTTCAAGTCTTCAAGAAGATTATGTTTTGTCGTTCCCACCTGATAGGACTGCCATTTGTGTACTCCAAGCCTACTAAGAGTAAGGACAATCCCTGTGATGTCAGAGGAACCTAACTTTATCTCCATTAGTACATCGGTGGCGAGGTTGGATAGGAATGGTGATAAAGGACCCTACTAGTTGTTCTCAATACAGATGAAACCTCCCAATAAACCCTTACACGGCTGCGTGAGTTCCAGTAGAGAGCTATAACTAGCGTTACATACTTGCTCGGTACTGCCTTGACAATCAGACAGTCACAATACCTTACGGCCAACAGAGTCGAATGCCGACTTCAGGTCAATAAATATGGCAACTGTCAGCCATCGGCAAGTACGCCTTTGTTTCGTAACCTGCTGGTTCTGTTGCTTTGCATCGTCCAGTTTTCAAACAGCCTTCTGAACTTCAAGGAGAGTTGGAAGATTGTCATCTAGTTCATATTCAGGTTGGATGCTGGCCAATTGAAACATTCCTATGGGTTATTCGAACTGTGCTTTAAAGTGTTCCAGCTAACGTTGTAGCCATCTATCCGGAAAGGTTATTATTAGGCTCCCATCCTTTTGGTGAAGGTCTCACTAACCGTCGTCCTTTTCTTGCCAGTATTCTTCATAAACCTAAATAATTATCATGTTACCTATTGTTGCTGCCTTCCCCACCTTTCTCCCTTTAACTAACCACCACTGCTAGCAATCATTTCGAAGAGTTGTAGTCCATTCATGTTTGAGATGCTTTCGCTCTTCATTGAGGTTAGAGCCAGCTGGAATGAGCCTTCTCAAGCCAATTAGTAAGAATGTCGCAAAAATTCACTAACCTCAGGAGTTAAAACAGCCAAATATCTTCACCGTTTTTACGGCAAACTTAATATCATGCTAGGTTTCCTCCGGATGAGTACTGCTGTCACTGTTAAGATAGATGCTTAGCTATGTCCCTAAATCATCACCTGAATTCATCATTTCGAGTACCCCCAGACTTTACTGTCAACTGCTTCCTGCGGCCAGAAAAACCCAAACGTATACATGCACATAATGAAGCGTAACGAGTCTACAAAGTTATTTCAGAGAAGGCCACAATTCAACGATAGCTTATAACAATAAAATGTATCCGTGCCTATCGTTGGGTTGGAAGTTGGAGGACACTATGTGAAGGTAGTTCTGGCGAGGAACAAGCGATAGTCATAAGAAAACTGCAACAGACGTTGGTGGTTCGTTGGCATGGGATTTCGTAAATACCAACAAGATGTCTTTCCGATCGGCTCAGCTTCCCTACATCGGCATTAAAGTCACTTGCCATTATGACTACATCTGAACGTTTTGCTTTTCGTAGCAAGGTTGACAGTTTTTCATAGGATCCATCCTTTGCATCATCCGAAATGCATTTGGTGGGTGTGTAGGTGGTGATTACGAATAGGCATTGCCTAGTCTCACGGTCTTTGCAGACCTATTTAGTCTAACAGCACATAGACAGCTGTCGACTGGTACCCAGTTAAGAAGCGCCCTACAACTCAATGCTACGCATACATCATTGAGCCCACGAGAGCTAGCTATCAGGGTCTTTGGATACGCGTAGAGTGAATTTTGAAGATTCACTGCAATGCCAAGTGATGAATAAACACACTCGGATCCTGTATACGTGTCTCGAAAACAGCATACGTCTATGATTCAAGATTCCAGTTTTGGCGAGCGATACCTGCTGTTCGACTTGTCAGTCCAAAAGTTAAGAGCTCCCACATGAAATCGATCCCAGAGTCTTAGACTAAGAATGAAGTTTATATGGCTTTGAACGTTGAAGATAGTCGCAGAGGGAGAGGTTGGGGGAGATGTAAGGGACTTCACACTAGTATCAGGAGGTAAATGCCAAGGTGGAGACAGTTGAGGAGGATAAGTTAGGTTTGAATGGGTCTTGTGTAATCTTGGAAGCGGTTGCCCTTAGCGTGAAAGGTTAATTCTTGCGGTAAATGAAAAAAAGGAACAGCATGTGACCATAAAAACCAAGGGACACACGGCCTTTTGGGAGGTTTGTGGCTTCGGCATTTTACTTTTGAGTCCGACTACGATTTTCTGTTGCAGGCGTCGATCGGCATGTCACGAGGGGTAGCGGTGTGCTGTTTTTCGGGGTGGACCTTTTCTAAGCCCCCCCCCCCCCCACCTTCACATAAGTAAAGCAGAATCAGAGTGGTATTTCTGGTCATCCAGAGCAAATGTCTCACTGTTGTCAGACTTTCAACCAGTCAGCAGTACGACTGCGCCCTCGAACCCCCATCGTAGCGTGCCAATTAACGCTATGTCGGTAACTGCTTTTTGACTAACCACTATCCAACAGATCTTTCTGGTAAGGTAGGACACTCAAGGGAATAAGCGTTCCACAAACATAGCTCGTTGGATTATGGTGATACACAAGCCCAACCACCACGTCAAGGACCAGCTATTGGTCGACATATTGCGCACAGGTTAACATCTGACTAAGTATTTTAGGGATGAACGTTAGTGATAAACTTGGACAGTAAAGCAGAAAACTTGCGTTTAGCAACTACACAGCTGTACTTACAGAAATTCAGGAGTCTTCAGTATTGCTCGACCGCCATATTCTTGCGGATATTGAAAAACGAAGAAGTAATAAAGATGTCCAACAATTATTCCAACGAGTTCCATAATTGCACTGAAGTTTTGGGTAAGTTGTTAAACGAGTAAAACTAACCTTCCGCGCACAATAAGGTTAAATATAACCAAAACCCATGGAAAATACATTGCTTTAAACTGCATACCAAACCAAAATTGAACGAGAACATCACGATTCAGCTGACTCCATATATATAACACTGTGAGTACCATTGGTTCCAAAAGCACCTATTTCAATGGAAGAGAAAATTATAAAGTGGTCGGTAAAAAGCTATTGATGTACATAAGACGGCGATTTCAAGTGCCAAACTGACAAAACGTATTTAAGTGCCCATAACAGCCCAAATATCGTAACAAACCCTGATTCAAATTCATCTAGCTGACGAATAAAATAGGGATTTCTAGTAGACATTGACTGGCATGGCCTGTGGCAGCATCTAGAGAGCTATTTATCAGGGTTTAGCAGAAAATTAGTAACCATAAATATACGCGCCAACACTACCTCTTTGTTGCTGTTTATAACCCCAAAAAAGAACAGGAATTTAAACTTTAAATCATCATGAACATTCCATGAAGGATATGAGTTTGAATAACTTGTAGTGAAATCACACTTTTAATTCAATTACACTACATTGATTTTCTGCGTATAAGAATTTAGCAAAAGAAACAGGATTTGCAGTTTTTAAAAATCCGTAGTAACAGTTTGCCACACAAATCTGGGATTTTTCATTTAATTTTGATAACTAGATTGAATGTAATCATGTGCTTATCTCCATCTGAATAGATTTCAATTCTCTGAAGCTTCAGTCTCATATGAAACTAAAAGGTAAGGATATTTTGCAACCTACCGCTCACGAATGCTCAAACAACTGCTTGTTCCTGAAAATAACGACTTTAATTTGAGTAAAGGAAACAAATCAGCCGCTAAAGACAAACCAGTTACTGAATTTTTGGGGAATTCAGCTCTAGTTAACTGGTAAAAAGTAAAAGACAATAGCGGTTAATATGTGAAAATTTTCCAGATTATCAGACAGGGCATTTTTCACATTGGTTTTAGGTGCTCATGCGAACCATCAACTTTAAAAGTTTCCAATACTGGTCATATGTTCTACAGAAGTTTACAGCTTGCTTGGTACATCGTGAAAGACCAGTTTGGTCATTTTGTAATTGTCTAGAATGGTACCATTCGTTCACAATGCTTTCGAACCGATCATAACCACTTTTCTAAATGGTGAGTGGATTTTACGCGAAATTGAAATCATGTATGGATTCGAATATGATCCTCACTTTATTTGTGTATAAGCACAATTGTAAACGCGATAAGGTTATAAGTGGAATATTTGAAATTAGGGCGCCAACGCGTCACATACGCGTATGAGAATTGCACAAGGTGGAACCGGGGTGTGTTAGTTTTTTCACTGTTACTAATATTAGAAATATCGGTCTGAAGAAATATAAAAACCTGGAATTTTAAGAACTTAACTAGGAATGCATGGATACCACTTTAACTATTATTCTCTAAGGTTACCATTAAAACGAGTGATTCTTAGCATTTAGATATAGAATCTATTTTGCATCCTCTTGATGACATTATTTAACGCCTTTCGCGATATTTTCCAGAGGCTCTCTCTTTTATCTGAAGTAGATATGTTAGTAACTAAACTAAACTTTGGACACAATGTTGTCAGGTTACTGCTTCCTCTACCTGCGGCTGAATAAGATGAGGCACCACTCACCAACTTTTGTAGTTCTTTCGGTGACTGCACGATATGATCCTTTGTGTTAATAGTCTTGATAACCCTACGTTTCAGCACAGCTTTAAGACTTCCAGCAGCACGATGTTGAGCAATATAGGTACTTCGAAGGACTTTTAGATAGGATAATATACACTTTGAATAATAACCATAAAGCACCAAGAACATTTCCTTATCAACTGAGCGGTTAGTTTTGTCAGGCTGAGCATAGGATAGCTGAATTGATTCTCAAGTAGGATTTAAGGAAGTTAATATCGTGTCTTTGGCTACTTAAATACATTAATCAAAGTTGTGGTTAGAGGCAGTTTGACTCACTTTTATTTTGCGTCTGCACAAAAATAAAGTGAGTGTGGTTCATATTAGAAAGTAGCGGAGATGCAGCTTACTAGTAGAGTCAAGTGACCTTCAACCATTAAGTTGAATGTTTGAACACCACCTGTTGATGTTTGCGAACCTGATTAGTTAAATAAGCACACAGGATAGTTGTAGCTCGCCACCCGTTGCACGAACCTGCATCTTATAGCTAGTACGCACGCACTTTTTCTAAGCAAGTTACTTTTTCCAACTACATGCGAATAAAATTCTATACATGACGTGTAGTCTGTTTTTTGCTCCTAACGAATAACAGATGATATTTAATTTGCAAATCATAAAAAGAAATCGTCAAGTTATCAGTTGTATTAAACTTACGTAAAACGAAGCCAGGAAACTCACAATCTATTATAGAGTTAAGGAAATACATCATAGATAGTTGTCTATAATTTTTAAATAATTCCAGTTTAGTGAATAGAAATTGTGAAAAGGGAATACAATAAATCAAGTCTCCAGTAACCGTTTGAATCTACTTTAGCAGCTGCAGGAATTCACCTTAACAGGATTCAAGGATACATGAAACTTATCAGCTTACATGCCAAAGTGATTCTGTACTTCTATATCAATAACATCTACAAAAAAATATAGCCTGATCAACTAGCACATTATGAAATAGGTCAGTTATTACATAGTTTGACGGATACAGCTTTCAAAGTAGCATTCATCATGGACTGAAATAATTTGGAGGACTACTGTAAACTTGGGAGCAATGACAATTGTTTCTTCCGAGAAATGTACACCCATGACTCCACGAGAGGTGGAGCCCGTGACCTCCTGGTCTCGTGGCAAGCTTGTTGCCATTTAGCCGCTGGGTTGGAATCTTTTTGTCAACATTTTGCAACTCTTGTCAATAGTGACCAACATCCGATTTCACTAGCGAGTATTTGCCGTCATACCCAGTTTGGTTGAGCTAATAATAAAAAGTCAAAATGTACTTAGTAGGCACGCGTACGTCTGTGCAATAGACAATGAACCACACACTGTGAGGGCTTATGGTGGTGTCTGGTTGCCCAAACCTTGGTAGGTAGAGTAGGGTTTAGACCCATGATCCACTAGTTGGAAGTTGTGTCTAGCCCAATGAGCCACAGCTGCACATGATACTAATGATAACGGCTTCTCATTAGAACTTCGGGAAATCCATCTTAAAGCATATCAGTAGTGAGTGGTGCATATTAATTAGATCGGCGGTTTATAGGAAGGAAGTAGACATACACAACTTTAGTACCCTCGTTAAGATCATGGTCGAAGTATGCAGATGATATATATCTACGCTAGCGAATATGATCTTTATTAATCTGTTTACTGGAAAGAAATGCCAGAAGGATATCTGTAGCAACTTGGGTAATACGTGAACCACAGTGATTTGTCGGATAACTGTACACCATAAGGAGTCTATGCTTTCTTTCACTTAACATCTAGGTCATTACAGTAAAGTGACTCCAATTTTACCAACTTGGATGACTACATTAAAGCAATGCATATCATTAACAGCAAAGCAAATTTACACAGTTGTATACAGGTGATATGTACAACCGAAGTAAAAACGATGAATATTAAATGGGAACACCTATCTATTCCATACAGCTGGTGTAGAACTGAAAAAACCAGTTACTGGTTACATACTTAATAGAAGTTGTGCAGTGAAACCGTATCCGAAGCCCAATCCGTACCATCCTTCAGAAGTTTCTACTTGTTAACAATAAGCAAACTTTCAGTAGAAAACTATCAGCCAAGTGAACACACAGTTCCGACAAAACTATACAATTATTGCACATAAATCTCATTAATTGGGCACAATGCTCAAGCAACCTCATGATATCCTCAAGACAAATGCACCTTTCATGAGTGGAACGCCGTCATTCAATTTCCAAACATACGTTGTTATCCTATTTATATATGCTTGTTTTTAGAATGAACAAAATGTACACATTTTTTACTTACTTTTCGTGCGAAAAGTTACTGAGATTACGTTGACGACCGCATCGGTTTTAGCAACCACTAACAAAAGAAAAAGTAGTCTTTTCTAAAGTGCACAACCCAAAGGATTCCAAAGCATACTGAATCAGTTATCAGGATTTTGCAAACTAAATGCTTTCCAATTGGTCAATAATCTATAATTCGTTCATATTATTGCTAGGTTTTTTGATAACTTTCGAATAATTACTTAAAAATTGAATCAATATATAGTGACACCAATAAATTTTTGTCTGATCAGGTTTTCATAGACCTGCTCGTACAAATCTGTATGCATGTATATTTCAGTCTGGAGTTACCCAAGTACTTAGTATCTACAGAACTACTCTATTACAGTTTTCTTGAACTGATGATTTCATAGATGGTTGCACTTTTCAAGATCCAATTACAGTTTCAGATTTATTTTTAGTACAACGACCCAACAAGTGGTAAGGTGCGTAGTGAGTTGGTTACCGAATACAAGATGGAGTAAGCTAAGTCAGTTCCATTAATCCTCAAACGGACGAAAACAAATGTTTTTGAGGTTTCGCTAGTCCATTGTCAAACCACAGAGCAGCACTGGACTTAATACTGGATCTCTAAGTAGAAAATATAAGTTATTCAGTGAGGTTAAGCAAACGCACAGGGTGAAATGTACAAGTGTTATGCACCCTAAGTCGGTGTTTACTCGTATAGTCAGTCACAGTCCAGGTCAATTGTAAGAAGCATAATTAACTAACTAATCATAGAAGACGTACCACCAATCCAACTCATAAACTGTTAATTCGGAATACATGAGGTACCTAGTTACGACTCTTGGGATATGACCAAAAACCTGTTGCAGAACTTGTGATGTAACTTAGTCAGCTGCAGTGATGTGTCCATTTGTATCGAAATTCTAAACATCCTAAGAATATTCGCTATCTGTTGTACATCTAAATCCTTTTGTCTACCTAATATTTTCTTGATTTGTTCTCTGTACGGTTACGAAGTGTGGCAAATTTATAAGGCTGACTTCTACGTCGTGTTAACCTGCTTGTATTCATATGCAATTCACATCTACAATCAACATAAGTGGGCTGGTCACAAGCAGTCTACACAGATTTGGCAAAATTACATGGTTCTATACCTCAGGTCATTTTGCTTGAAAGATACTCTGAATTGTGTTGAAGATATGTTTTCTTAACCTTAAAGTAAACTTCGGCATTCTGAAATAGTCTCCAATCAGACTTACAAAAGCAGTTAGTTGAAAACTAAATCTGGTTGCCTCACATATTGTGGTCACAAAACTGGAAGCACTAATTCTTCTAGAATCATCGATAATGTAGTTAAAACAATAGTAAATATTGCAAAGGATACCACAAGTGCAATCCACGTAAACAGAAACATAAACACATAGTCCGCAGTACGTCCGAGGAACATGCCTAAGAATTTAGAAAAATAATAATAGAGGGACGAACCATTTTCAAGTCGGGAAGAGTACGAGTACAAAAAGTAGAGATTGATTAAAAAGTGAAATCCAGTGGATGGAGACACTGGATAGAACAGCAAGCCTGTGACAGGTCTCCATATCTGAAAAACAAGTTTGTGATAAAAACTGATGAAAACCTCGAAGTTGGAATATATTCTATCCCACAATAAAATCATTCGCATGGGGTCAATGATGTTAAGTTTTCCGAGGAGTGAAAACAATATTGTGCCCGAAAACCAGTAACGTGTGACAAGAGGAATGCTGTTGAACATTTCAGATAAATCATTTCCAGGCATTTTTAGTGCAGCGTATATAACCGCTAGAAACAGTTAGAAAGCCGTATGAATTCGAATTGATATCGATGAATAGATGATTGATTACTACAGCCAGTGATATCCTGTGCCAAAAATTCAATCTGAGAAGTAACAATAACGATAATTATGAAAGCAAGTGCATTACCACTGGCTTTTCACCGACCCTGAGAATTTCGATCAACTACGTACAGTAATCGTGGAAACTATACGTGTACTCCAGTGTGCGTACAGTCCTCGAAATAACCACATCAAACATTCAATATCCAATATCTTTTAACTAGACAGTGCAAAATAATCGATTTCTTCACGCTTGCTCCTAGGTCTTGCTCAGCGGTTCCAGGTCTTCGGTGGGTTTCGATGCAGTAGGTCTTCTCACTCGCCTGCTGTCACCCTGGTTAGCCTGGTGGGTGGTTGAGTGTTGACTGTAGACTTGCAGTATGACTACCAGATGCTAGAGGCAATCAGTTGCTGTCTCAAGCTGGGGCACACACACATGCCAATTTTAGGTTAATTCAGCCTACTGAAGGTCAGAATTACACATCACAGGTTTAGCTGGGGTTAGGATTCAAATGAAGCCAGATTCTTCCACCTGATTGGAGAGCTGGGGCTTACGGAAAATGTGAGGACGGTAACGTGAGTGAGGTAGACTCAGACCCCATCTCGCTTAGACTGCATCCTCACGAATGAGGAATTACTGATAGACGACTTAGCAATCCTTCCTTCTTAGGGCAGAAGTGATCACGTTGCTATCGGCTTCTAGTTTGTCTCCGAAAACAATCTGGCCAGACCTTTCAATGAACGTCATCGGAACTTCAGACGACTTAACACTCCGGCTCTTACAACTAAACCGGAGCAGACACATTGGAAAGTTTACTATGTATGGCAAGATATGAACACCCACTGGAGATTCAGACAAGAAACATACATACGAAGGCAATGAGAGTCGATCGACAGTGGCATCAAGTCAGGGTCACAAACATGTTTGTTTCTAACCTGAGAAGTCTCTTCCGCTGCGCTGCTTAGTTCCGACAGGCTAAAACGGGGTTCTCTCGACTTATGGTGACAATGAAGCAGCCGAGCCCTTGCCGACCAGTAACAGCTAATCTTTTCGTCATCGTCCACCTACTCAGGGGCTTACGAATATCCCACTAACGTGGTAGGACTCTCATTAGTCGACCTAAGCGTTGTGCCAATACAGTGCAAACTGCCACGGCTCGCCAAAGGCACTTTTCTGGGGCCTGACAAAATCCATCCAGCAAGACTGCGGGAAGGAGCTTCAATCTCGTCCGAAACTCTACGCATGTTGTTTGAGAATTACCTAAGTCAGGGTATAGTACCCGACTCTTGGAGGCTAGGCCACATAACGCCAACCTTCAGAGGGGGTCAAAGAAGCAATCCAAAGAAATGCAGACAGGTGGCACTTCTTTCCATTCCCTCCAAAGTAATGGAATCGTTAGTATACGGTGGACTGAGGGGTTACCTCAGAAAGATAAATTTCTTTGTTATTTGTGTTAGAGTTAAGCCTGAAGAGGATCTAACTGAAAACCCTATTGTCCGTTTTAACGTTTTATTCAAATTTATTTGCGCCTCAACGACGTAGATTTTGGAAAGGATACTCCCGCATCACCAAACTGCTCACTGCAGTAGACAGGTGGGCTGGCACTGTTTACTGTCGAGGACGAACTGATGTTATCTTAAGCGTTGCTAAGGCGTTTGACCGTGTGAATCACAACCACCTTGTAGATAAATTGGAATCAATAGTGATTTTACCTCCGCTCATTGACTGATTGTCTTCATATCTACGAGGCCGTTCCTTTTGAGTTCCAGTGAGTCGCTATTTCTGGAGGAGCAGAATGTCCCAAGGTTCAGTACTGGGGCCTTCCCTCTTTCTAGCGTGTATTAACGACTTGCCTCAACAGACTACTCAAGAAATCCTTCTTTTTGCAGACGATGTGAAACTCTGGAGAGGAATCGAAAGTGAAGAAGACAGTGTTTCTCTGCAGGAAGGCTTGACTCAACTTCACAACTGGGCAGTCAACAACGGGCCGGCATTTAATCCTGAGAAATGCAAGGTGACACACGTAAAACACGATGCATCTCACTCGTATGATCCCTGCGATAACTGGCCTCACCTAAGAAGACAGACTTAAGGAGCTGAACCTCTTCACTTTGTCCTGCCGCAGACAGAGGAGAAAGCTAATCATGCTATACGGGATTCTAGAAAATGACTTTGGACCTGATCTGTCTTCTCTTTTCCTTCCCACCAGGTCGGAACACCTCAGAGTACATAGTAGGAGACTACAAAAGCAAAGAACTAACACAGTCTCCACAGAGTACTGGTTCTCGCGTCGATTAATCAACGCCTGGGGCCGACTCCTGGAAGAAGTGGTGTCCGCATCACCAATTGACTAGTTTAAAAGGGGATTGGTCGAGCACATAACCCTACTGAAAAAGGATTAATATAAGCTCCCAGCCTCCTATCCTCAAACAACAAATCTGAATCTGATATAGCCTCAATGGCAGGGAGGTTGAAGCATCACTGAGAGGGGGGATCTGGACGCCTTAGTCCCTCAAGACTTAAAATCTTGTGCCAACTGTGACAGAAACGTATTTCGTGGAAACTTGGCGTTAGTAACTCTCAGACCAACTTTCGAACAGTCCGATCGTAGATGCTTCCACCAAACTCTCGGCGTCTTTGTATGGCTCTGCCTGGAGTTCGAGACCATCGTCTTCCCCCTTCTCTCTAGATAAACCAAGCTTAGAAAGCATCGAGAGGCGCTTGGCAGGATTTGTTTGGGGACTCAGGTCGAAAAAACACGAAGAACGGCCGGTTTCGCCGGATCTGTATTCCCTGGAGTACAGGAGGCCAAGAGGAGACTTGATAATGACTCAGAGCATTCTCAGCACGCCTGGCCACCCACTCCGCCACTGATTAAATCTTAGCCGTGGCACTAATCTTAGAGGACACGCACATAAAATAAGCCCGGAACATGGCAGGGTAGGTGCCTGGCATAACATCTATTCCCTGAGAGTTGTTGAACCCTGGAACGCTCTTCCTGGAGATGTGACCCAGGCTACTTTGTCCGAATCCTTTAAAGGCTGACTGGATACCCACTTGGCGTGCGTCTGGGATCTGCCCAGGACTAACTGAATTTTCACGTTCCAACCGCCACTTTTTCCTCTTTCTTTGCTTGTACACAGGTTAACAACCACAAGGAGTAGTGATCCACGGATTTTAGACGCAGAAGCCAGTTAGGCGAAAGCTTCTTCTATTCCGTCAACAACCATTTGAATCATTTTGACTTTGTGGGGATGGTGTGGTTTTTCCAAGGACTGTGGTGTGAGTGGGCTACTCAGGTGTCGTGCCGCAAAACATATGGTCGGACTGGTCATGGAGAGATGATAGAAAAGACCCCCAGAGAATTTAGGGGAGAGGAAGTGTTATGGAAAAGAAACAAAAAAGATAGGGTGATAGAAATCGGAACGAAGGTGGGGAAACCTAGGTAGATTCATGGTAGATAAGTGATGCGGAGAACTTTTAAAAAACAACGTCGGAACATAAAGTCAGAAACAGGAGAGAGAGCAAGTAAGGTTGTAGGAAGGGTTATGAGAATGGAGATAGCAGTACTATCTGTAGGACAGGGGAGGGCGGATGCTTTAGGGAAATGAAAGTTAGAGTCAGGTCTGCGACTATGGTGACGGCACAAAAGGCTCGGTAATGGTTTGGCTGTGCTTGGTTGTGTGGAGTTAGTAGGTTGTATCAACCTCGTCCGTCTCCCAGCCGGGTGAGCGTAGACGGTGAGTCACTGCGTAGCCGTCCAACCTCTTCTTGAACCTGTCAACAGAAGGAGCAGTAGGAATCTCGGCAGTCAGTGCGTCCCTGTGGCCGGGAGAAAGAAGTGTAAACGCATATGGGATTTTGCCCCGGTGGTCGGCCCACCCTGGGCTACCACGAGGATTGCCGTAGTAACAGTTC